AGATACTTTTGTTCCATGCAATAGCATAAGTTAGATGATTCTTATTTTCATTTTATTTTGTTTGATATGATATGGGTACGAATGGTTACAGGACAGCCGTGTGAGTGTCATGTCAGATCATGTTACTCTGTATGAACTGACCATGTGGAATAATTGTCAATAAAATTTTAAAAAAAGATTTATGCATAGAATTCACGGGATTTCAAAGGGGAGAGTATGTGAATTCCACTCCTCCGATTTTTTTTTTTCAATATCTGGAATCTTCTTTTTGTTTCATATCACTGTCTTATATGGATCAGTATCATCTAATATGGTGCCTATATAGCTTTCAAATAGTCAGTGGCAGCCAATGATGGCAACAGAAACAATCTAAAGAAAATAAGTGAAGGGTCCTAAGTGAACTTCATATCTTGGCTGGCTTATTGAAAAATATTATTTTCGTAAGGACCAAAGGAAAACAGGACTCCAAAGTACCTAAATGCTATTTGCTTGAATATACAGCATCGGGGTTTTACAGTGTTCTATCTGCCACATTCGACTTTCATCAAATTTTTTTCACTAAATTTTCCATAAGAGCCTTTGTTTAACATATCTTATTAGATTAACAGAAGTTTCTAAGTTTGAAGTGATAGAGATATATGCACGAGTGCAGTATAGTGACTGAAATGCAAATTTGCTATTCCTGGCTTCTCTTTGCATGGTTATCTATTCTTTAACAAGAAATGTTGCGCAGTTGTACGTACTAGGACATGAATAAAACTCTAAGAACAGAAAATAGAACTGTGCTCGAACAAGCTCATTGTTCCCAGTTGAATTCATCAAATCCCATGATGTCAAATTTCCATATATTGTTATGGTCCCTAGTTTAAGATCCAGGTATGGATTTAGCTACTGGAAAATGTAGTTGGAGGTTAGAATGCTTTTGAAATTTCATTTCTTTATGAACTCTCTTGGATTAGTAAGGGCTCGTTAGATAGAAACCTAAAATCTTTGAGTTTAGTAGGAACTCAAATTGTGCGATAAACTACTGTTTACCTCTTCTTTCCTTAACTAGCGACTTCGGTACCACATAAATCTTAGGTAACTAATCATAAAAATGGAAGAAACTAATACCCATTCTTAGCTGTAACTGTAATAAACTAATTTCCATATTCTTAGCTACTACCAAAAATTCTATAATTACCCTAGGAAAACCGAATTAACATAAAACTACTAAATGGTTTGTAGACTTTTTCTATTTTTGAAAGCGAAAGTGTAGTATCAGACAGCACTAAGGAGGTGCAAACCCATGTACAAAATATTTATAATTGTTTGGTAGAGTCGCCTACAAAATAGGAGCCATAACAGATTTTCAGCCAGTTTCAAGAAGCAGGGTAGAAACTTTGCTATCTTGTGTGCATATGTTTTCAAAACAAGTTCACCATGAAGAGAAGATATAGATGGGTCCAAATATGTGACCGTGAAAGGAGGGAGCATCAGGGATTTGTAGAGTAATTCCTCTGAACCTCCAGTCATCACACACATACACACCGA